CTCTGGCTAAACAGGAGGCACTGAAACTGGGCCACAAGGAGGAGCCATGAACCCAATGCCAATTGTCCTAGCAGAGGCTGAACAGTTCTCAAAATATTCTCCAGAGATCACAAGCAGAGGGTTTGCTCCCCACATACGCTCTCAGTCCAAGCATCCCAAGTTTCCACGGAAACGTTTTCACTGCCAGCCTACCAGAGGAAGGACCAGGGTTGGATTAAACCCAGTGGAGGCTCCTAGGCAGTCAGAATCTCGCAGGCCCCCTCACAAATTATTTCCCAATTTTCTTTCAAGATCAAATCAATATTATTTTGTTGTTTTTTTGTTTTTTCCATAAATTTTTATTAATTTTCCAACATAAATTAAAAACAATACAAAACACAATACATAGACAAACAAACATATAAACACGTATAATTTCAAAACCTCTTTTTCATAAATCTTACTTCCCCGACTTCCCCATGCCTCCCCTTTCTGCATCCCTATTTTAAAATTTCTTCAGCAACACCTCACTTCAATTAACTGATTACTCATTTTCTTTATTTTTTTTCCCCTTCTTCTCTTACTTAATCATTTACAGCTGTACTTCTATATTGTTTCTTTACCCATGGCATTTTTAGCACTCATTAATTTTACAACAGTTCTTAAGATATACTTTAAATTTCTTCCAATCTTCTTCCGCCGTCTCTTTTCCTTGATCACGGATTCTGCCAGTCATCTCCGCCAGTCCCATATACCGTATTTTTCGCTCTATAACACGCAGATTTTTTCTCCTAAAAAGGAAGGGGAAATGTCTGTGCGTGTTATGCAGCGAATGTGTGGTCCCTGGAGCCGAAAAATGAGGCAAAAATCAAACCGCGCTTCAGGGAGAAGGGAGCTCCGTGAGAGAGGAAGCTGTTGCTTTCCTGCATTCTGCCTCAGGGTCTTACTGCCCACCCTCCTCTGTTTCGTTGCTGTGTTTGCTCAAACGGAACAAAGAGCAGGGAAAGCCCCTCCCCTCCAGGCAAGCAGAGGGGAAAGCAGAGCGTCCCTCTAATTCCTCTCCCTGCTCCGGAGGGAACAATGTTTGTGAAGGGAAGAGAGATTACAGGTTCGGCTTAAAATTCTGATTTTGACTTCCTGCTTTTTGTTTTTGGAGACACACAGCATTCAAATATGCTTTCTTCCATTTAAAAGGATGAAATCCTTAAACAGTGTTTTGCCTGTAAATTCATGCGATCTGGAAGATTACAGTGTCTGTACCTCTTAAGGGATGGCAAAGCTTAGGTTTCGCTGCTAAATAGTTCTTAATGCAGTTAAAATGCTTTCTTCTGTCATGCTGGTGGGAGGGAGAGGGAGAGAGAGAGAGAGAGAGAGAGAGAGAGAGAGAGAGAGAGAGAGAGCACGCTGGCTGGCTTGTGTGGGTGGGTGGGGGGAAACTTTTGCCTTCCTTTCCTCACGTTATAGCCCTCTCCTGCATTCTTAGCCTCTGTGTTTTTCCTTCCCTCCCCACTTAAAATGTGGTTACAAAGCATGGATCCACATGGACTCTCAGGATCTTTGCATTGGGTCAGCCAAAATTCACCCATCAGAGCACACAGCATGTCCATGGCTACAGCCTGCCCCCCCCAAAATCACGCACCCACTGTTGCCTGGGGCTGCAATGGTGCAAAAACGTGGTTACAAAGCATGGATCACATGGATCCTCAGGATCTTTGCATTGGGTCAGCCAAAATTCACCATCAGAGCAACTAGCAATGTCCATGTGCTACAGCCTGTCCCCCCCCCAAAAAAAAATCACGCACCCACTGTTGCCTGGGGCTGCAATGGTGCAAAAACGTGGTTAAAAAGTATGGGTCCACATGGATCCTCAGGATCTTTGCATTGGGGTCAGCCAAAATTCACCATCAGAGCACATAGCATGTCCATGGCTACAGCCTGCCCCCCAAAAAAATCACGCACCCACTGTTGCCTGGGGCTGCAATGGTGCAAAAACGTGGTTACAAAGCATGGATCCACAGGGATTCTCAGGATTTTTGCATTGGGTCACCCCAAAATTCACCATCAGATCACATGTCTGTGGCCACAGCATGAAGCACAAAAATGATACGTCCACTGTTTCATTCAGAATATTTTTTCCCTTGTTTTCCTCCTCTAAAAACGATGTGCGTGTTATGGTCAGGTGCGTGTTATAGAGCGAAAAATACGGTAATCATCACCTTCGTCTGCCATTCTTCCAGCGTGGGTAGTTCTTGTGTCTTCCAATACTTTGCTAAAAGAACCCTTGCTGCTGTGGTAGCATACATAAAAACATCCTGTCCTTCCTTGACACCAATTGGCCAACCATGCCAATCAATATTATTTTGATCCGTTGTTGAGGGGCCCCTAGGCTCGTAGGCCAGTGCCCAGTCTGTCTGTTTGGTAATCTGGCACTGAGGAAGGACGCACCTTGACATTGACAATGTGGTAATTCACTTCGCTGGCCGTAGTTCTTCGGAGGGCTCTGACGTTCTCGGCTGGAGGTGAAGAACTCCAGGTAAGCCTGGAAGGAGTCGAGAGAGGAGATGTCGACACCAAAGAATCCCAGCAATGGCACAATTTAAATGTTTAAATTAACTTGGGGGGGGGGGAGCAGAGGTTTTTCTATTAGGAATTGTAGGTGCCGATATTCCAAGGGAGCAGAAAATACTTTTTATGTATGCGACGACAGCCACCCGGTTGTTACTGGCCCAGAGATGGAAAGAAGACAAAGTCCCTAATAGGGAACCCAGAACAATGGTGCGCAAGGCCTTATATAGACATTTTAAATTCCCTGCCCTGTCACTCCAAGACTACCCGTCCATACATCATACCTACATCACAGAAAAGGCGGTCTACAATTTAAATGTTGGACTACAGAAATTTAAAATTCAGTACCAAATTATCTAAGGTTGTTCACCAAAGCCAGACTAAACGTCTTTCCTTCTGCAGTGTTGGATGGCAGGTTGAGAGGAGTTCCCTACCAGGACAGACTTTGCTCATGTGCTCAAGACATCGATTCCATAAAACATATTTTGCTGCGAAACATGAGCAAGCCAAGGCTGAACTGATATTACCCTTGCTGGTACCTTTCCTGGGAAAATCAGAGGCTCATTATGTCAGGTTCCTATTGGAAGACCGGACAAACGCTAGAACATTAGCAGTGGCAAAGTTTTTATTGGTGGTTGCAAGAACCAATGATCCCTGTCTTTAAGTCTGAACAAAATGCTTGTTTAACCTGGAGGTAGGCTGTCTGAATTGTGCATTGCTTTGTAACAATTTGTTGGGTCTCTGGACCGTAATAAAGAAAAAAAATCAATGCTAAAAGCAGTTCAAAACAATTTACAGTCACAGCGATCTTCTGTGACCTGAAAAACGTGTCTCTTGGATCATAGAATCATAGAGTTGTAAGGGACCCGAGGGTCATCTAGTCCAACCCCCTGCAATGCAGGAATCTCAGCTCAAGCATCCATGGCAGATGCCCATCCAACTCCTTTCCTGCAACTTGAAGCCACTGGTTTGAATCCTACCTTCCAGAGCAGGAGGAAACAAGCTTGCTCCATCCTCCATGTGACAGCCATCTTTGAAGATGGCTACCATATCTCCTCTCAGTCTCCTCTTTTGCAGGCTAAACATCCCCAGCTCCTTCAACCGTTCCTCACAAGGCTTAGCTTCTAGATCATCCTAGTTGCCCTCCTCTGCACACGCGAAGCCAAAGTGGTTGTGTCTTCAGCCTGTGATGGGAGCAATACAATGAAGGTGCATGATCCAGGGGGCACGACTCTAAATCCGGCCCTACTTCCCTGCCAGTTGGGCCTCGCTTGCACCTTCCTGCTTGGCCTCCACGTATAGGGGCCTCTGTTCGACATATGCGGACGGCGCTTCCTCAGAGACATCTGCGGCGGCCTCCTCAAATCCCACCTGCAACATCAGGAAGGAACCCTGTCAGGACAGAGCAACAGGGCAAGGAGGGAGAGGCCTGGGCGGAAAACCCAGAGCCTCCCTCAAACCCCACCCTGAAGCCATCACCCAGCCATACCCTCCAACGTTCCTTAGATGAAAAGAGGGGCATTTGTCACTCCCCACTCAACTGACCCTCCTCATCCCCAACCCCCATTTTTGTTCCCCAACCCATCCCAGCAGAGCATTCCCACCACGACCACACCAAGGGGATGCAGCACAAACGCCCTCCTGAGAAAAACCCTTCACCCCGGCTTTCTTTTTTGGTCAATTGACAAAAAGAGAAGCACACGCCAATGAATACATTTTAGAAAGGGGCAAGATTAGATGCAGACGCACAAATCACTTTTTTCAAATACAGCAGTTTTTGAAACGTAATCCGTTCCTGAAGACCGTTCGACTTCCAAAACGTTCGACAGCCGAGGCGCAATGGGCGTGAAATCCCTTGAAAAATGGAGAAATGTGACTCGGAAGCCGTTTGACTTTGAAACGAAAAGAATTGCTTCCGAGTTTTCGGCGTTTGGGTTCCGAATCGTTCAGCATCCGATACGCTCGAAAACTGAGGTTTCCCTGTCCAAAAATCAAGATTCCTTGTGCTCTGCTCCACTCCCCCTTTCTTCTTTCCCAGCTAAATATTTCTTTCTTTCTTTCTTGTTGTCCTCTGCCTCCCCCTCAGAGCTGGCGCGTCAAACAGGGCCTTAATGGTGGTGGCCTCTCCTCCCCACCCGCTATCTAGCAGCCACTAGCAGCTGCCCAAGGGAGGAAGCTGGTAGCAGCGGCCATGGAGAGGCCATGGAGAGGCAACAGGATGCCCTCTCACAGCCGCCGCAGCCGCCATGGCTTGGGACAAGGGCCAGCTCATACTATTCCCCGATCTCGGCACTGGCAGCGGAATTAGGGACAGTCCAGGATCAAATCAGAAGCTGGGGTGGCTTTCATAATTCCAGAACTGTCATTGGAGACAAGGGACACTTGGGGAGTATGCCTAGAAGAGCACAGGAATCATAGAGTTGGAAGGGATCCTGAGGGTCATCTAGTCCAACCCCTTGCAACGCAGGAATCTTTTGCCCCCAAACGGGACTTGAACCCGCAACCCTGAGATTAAGTGTTTCCCTGAGTGAGCTAGGGGCATAGAATTGGACTTCCCCTCCTTAATCAGCATGAAACGGACAGGCTTCGCTCTCTTGGTTAACAACCCAGGGAGTGGCAGGATCAGCCCCCCAGGAGCCCCCCAGCAACACAGCCCCAAGGCGCATGTGAGCTCCTGCCCCTCAGCTTCCCGTTGCGCCTGGAGGTCTTCCTCGGCCAGGGCCACTGCCTGGGAGCAGCTCTCAGGCCCGGCCTCCCTGACCCAGCCCTGGACCTCGGGCGGCAGGATAGCCAGGAACTGCTCCAGGATCAGCAGTTCCAGAACCTGCTCCTTGGTGTGCCGGTCCACTTTTAACCACCCACGGCAGAGCTCCTGGAGGCGGCCATAGGCCTCGCCCCTCGGCCTCCTGGTAGCAGAAGCGGCGGAAGTGCTGCTGCCGCTGCTTCTCCTGGGCGGTGGTGTCCCCGCGCAAGATGGCCGCCTTCACTTCCCCATAATCCTCTCTGTCGCTGGCCTCCAGGCTGCCAAAGGGCCCACTCGGCCCCTCCTCGGAGGGCTGGCAGCAGCCTGGCCGCCCACTCTCCCTTGGGCCACCCGCTCAAAGGAGGCCAGAAAGCCCTTGGCATCGTCCCATGGGATGCTTCTGGCAAACCAGAGCAGCGCACGGAAACGCCGTTTACCTTCCCGCCGGAAGGGTACCTTTTTATCTACTTGCACTTTGTCGTGCTTTCGATCTGCTAGGTTGGCAGGAGCAGGGACCGAGCAACGGGAGCTCACCCCATAATGAGGATTTGAACCGCCGACCTTCTGATCGGCAAGTCCTAGGCTCTGTGGTTTAACCCACAGCGCCACCTGCGTCCTGCCTTCAGGTGTCTTCTAAAAGTTGTGTAATTCTTTTATCTCCTTGACAGCTGAAGGAAGGCCATTCCACAGGGAGGGCGCCACTACCGAGAAGGCCCTCTGCTTGGTTTTTGAAATTTATTTTTCAAAATTCGAAATTGGCTATCTTGCCTCTTCTTGGACTCCTCTTTTCAAGGTTAAACCTAGCCAGCTCCTTCAACCGTTCCTCATAAGGTTTAGACCTTTGATCATGTTGGTTGTCATCCCTCGGGGGTGAAGATAAAATTAGGATAGAGGATCTTGTGGATTTCCACACACACACACACACACACACACACACTTCTTTTTCGTCTTCTCTTCTTTTTCTACTTCTTTATTTCCTTCTTTTCCTTATTCTTGCTTCTTCCCTAGGTCTTTGGATTAGTTTGGCTTTCATTGAGTTTTATGCTGAAAACCCTTAATAGAAACCGATATGAAAAAATGAAGACACAAAAAATATATATTTACAAATAAAGCTGTATTCAATGTATGAAAGGATATATGATTTTTGACATGACTGAGAATCGCATAGCCAGGGACGGAGAACTTTAAAGCATTAAGATCAGAAGGAGGAAAATATGAAAGCAACGAGAAGAGGCAGGAAGAAAATTTGGAGATATGCTTCAGAGGTCCAGACTATAGGGAGCCTGTAAAAATTAATAACTACAATTTGGTTGTTTTGTGTTTAGTTTATTATTTTTAATTGGATTATGATTCGGGTATCTTGATTGGCTATTTTTATTGGAAAATCAATAACAATGATTAAAAAGAAAAGAAAAAAATGAAGACACAATTTCATACCGGCGGTGGCTAGACAGGGGAGGAAGGCTAATTGTGTTGGATCTGGAATTATCATATTTATTTATTCTTTTGTTCCCCGCCCATCTGGCTGACCACTTCTCGGTCCCTGCTCCTGCCAACCTAGTAGTTCAAAAGCACATCAAAGTGCAAGTAGATAAAGAGGTGCCGCTCCGGCAGGAAGGTAAACGGCGTTTCTGTGCGCTGCTCTGGTTAGCCAGAAGCAGCTTAGTCCTGCTGGCCACATGACCCAGAAGCTGTACGCCGGCTCCCTTGGCCAATAAAGCGAGATGAGTGCCACAACCCCAGAGTCGGTCACGACTGGACCTAATGGTCAGGGGTCCCTTTACCTTTAAGGCAGCTTCCAACAAAGAGAGAAATTGTAAAAGGACTAAGTGTGGGGTGATTCATATTTCTGCTAACAACACTGCTCTCCCCATGCGGTCCCCACCCTCCCAAAAGGGTATCGTGGAGTTGGGAAGAGTTTCAGGAAACACCAGCCAAAGTCGGAACGTCTCCCACATGCGGAGAGGTTTCAACATTTGGGGATTTTTTTGGTTTAGAGGGAAATGTGAGAAAGAGGCAACGAGGCAGAACTTTATAAAATCATGCGCGGTCCATCTTATGGGCTGCTTGTCACATTTATTTTATTTTTAGGAGGGAAAACTAATGCGTGGCACGGAAAAGGAAACGCAAGCCGTGGGGAACACTGATAACGTGCTTCTCGCGCTCCCATAATGCCAGACATCCAATGAAGCCGAACGTTGGACCAAAGAAAAGTATTTCACAGTTAAACTGTGGAACTCACTGCCACAAGAAGCACCAACAGCCACTGATTTTAAAAAAGACAAATTCATGGAGGAGAGGGTTATTGAGTGATGATGAGGATGACAATTTTTTTTATTTGTACCCCACCCATCTGTCTGAAGGCAGTATTTACCGTATTTTTCGCTCCATAAGACGCACCTAGTTTTTAGAGGAGGAAAACGGGGGGGGGGGGGGATTCTGAACGAAACAGTGGATGTATGATTTTTGTGGTTCAATGTAGTTGCATTGAACGGAGGGCGTGTGCAGTGCACGGAGTGTGTAGTTGCATTGCATGGAATGTAGTTGCATTGCATGGAGTGTGTTTTGCTTTGCAGGGAATGTGTTTTGCATTGCACGGAGTTTGTAGTTGCATTGCACGGAGTGTGTAGTTGCATTGAACGGAGTGTGTAGTTGCATTGAACGGAGTGTGTAGTTGCATTGCATGGAGGGTTTGTGAGTGCATTGCACGGAGTGTGTAGTTGCATTGCACAGAGCGTGTTTTTTGCATTGCACGGAGTGTGTAGTTGCATTGCATGGAGAGTGTGTGCACTGCACGGAGTGTGTTTTTTGCATTGCAGAGTGTGTGTCTGAAAAGGAAGCTGGCTCGGCGGCAGCTTTGTCGGGACTTCTTTAGGGGTTCTGGCCAGCGTCGGCCCTGTAAATTTACATATCATGATGGCAGCACAAGATGCCCCCTGCCCAAGCGGGGGCTGGAAGCTGGCAAGCAATAGCTCAATACCTTTTGCCCATATTCCCATTTTATTTAGGGATCCAGTTGGATATCGTTGCTAAAACATACCACTTGCCTATGGAGAAGCTGTCTGCCTTGAAGGAAGTTATTTTGTAATACTTCATCTGTAGCAAGTGATGCTTCATCAGATCCGATCTTGCTGGGTCACTTAATTAATCTTCCCACTAGGCCAGGCTGCCTGCGGCCTGAGGTCCCCTTACCTTTGTGTACGCCTACCAAGTATGGAGAATTGCTTGGGCCAAGTTACAGCTACAGATCAACTTTTCAAGCTAAAGGACGAGGGGACGAGCCACAGCCCAGTGGCAGAACACCTGCCTGGCATGCAGAAGGCCTCGGGGACCAGGTTGAACCCTCCGCATTTCCAGGTCAGCCTGAGAGAGAGTCTGGTCTGAAACATCAGAGAGCTGCTACCAGTCCGTATGGATGAGACCGAGCTGGACAGAGCAATGGCTTGACTAAGCAGAACACAGTTTCCTATGTTCCTGTGTCTAAAGAGAAGGGTTGAAAGGACCTGTTGATGGCATTTTACCATTGCACTGTGGAGAGTGTATTATGGTCTGTGTGTGTGGTTTGGGAGCTGCACGGTCAGGTGAAAAACAATGTTGTCCAGGGTTGTAAAGACTGCGGGGAGAATAATTGGGTGCACTCTTCCCACCTTGGATCAATTCTATTCTTCCAGGTGCCATAAGAACGCGGCAGAGATAGTGAAGGATAGTGCGCTACCCGGAAATGATCTCTTTCAGCTTCTGCCTTCTGGAAGAAGGTACAGGGTTATAAAGACTAGGACTAGCTGCCTGAACACTTCCAAGTTTTCGGCATTTGAGAACCAAGGTGTTTGAGAACCAAGGTACCACTGTATATGACTTCATGTTAAAAGTCAACTAACTTCCTGTGTTCCTATCCCTACTGAGCGATGTATAGCATTTCCTGAAACCGGACCCTGAACAGCACCCTATAAACATGTCAAACAAATCTACCTTCCTAATTTGCCATAGCACACGACTTGGAATCGCAGAACTGTGGAGTGGAAGGGACCCCAGGGGTCATCCAGCCTGACCCCTGGAAGTGCCTAAAGCTTTGCCACGAAAGGCAGTGTGGTTCTTCCTTTCACACAAAAATTGATCTTATGCAAGAGGACAGAACTGCTTGGACTGAGAGATGGAAGGGAAGGAGAGAAGAGCATAATGTCCCCAGCCATGTTACCTTTTGGAAGACGTAGCCTCCGTCGGGACCCCAGCCCACAATCGGGTCGGTGGAGGGCTTGCCGTTGATGTTCGGCTGGGAATTGATGGTCAGGATCCCTCTCCTGTTCACCTTGGCCAGCTCTTCTTTCATAAGGTTGGTCTCGGGCGCCAGAGGATCATCGTTCCAAGGCAGGCAGGTCACCTATGGGGGGGGGGAGAGAGAAACTATCAATATTTTGGAAAGGGGAGACGGCAGGTTGGGTGTGCACACAAATGCACAGCTTTCTCTCATGTTTCCAAATCCCCTTAAATTTTAAAATTCCTTCCCCCTGTTATACCTCAAGCAGACACACACATGTGTTAACCACAACAATAATTTATTTGTACAGTGATACCTCAGGTTAAGTACTTAATTTGTTCTGGAGGTCCATTCTTAACCTGAAACTGTTCTTAACCTGAGGTACCACTTTAGCTAATGGGGACTCCCGCTGCCTCCGTGCGATTTCTGTTCTCATCCTGAAGCAAAGTTCTTAACCTGAGGTACTATTTCTGGGTTAGCGGAGTCTGTAACCTGAAGCGTCCGTAACCTGAAGCGTCTGTAACCCGAGGTACCACTGTACTCTGCCCATCTGACTGTGTTGCCCCAGCCACTCTGAGCAGCTTCCAACATATATTAAAAGCATTATTATTATTTATTGAATTTATATACCGCCCTATACCCAGGGGTCTCAGGGCGATTCACAGAAAAAAATCAAGATATAAAACCACAAAATCAAAAATAAAAACAACCACCCAATAGTCCTCCCCTCCAAAAAACAAAAACCCCACACCTTTTAAAAGGGCATAGGATGTAAATCAAATCAACCAAAGGCTTGGTTTAAAAGGAACTTTTTTGCCTGGCACCTAAAGGTGTGTAATGAAGGCGCCAGACAAACTTCCCTGGGGAGAGCATTCCATAGACGGGGAGCCACTGCAGAGAAGGCCCTGTTCTCGTGTTGCCACCCTCTGGACCTCTCGAGGAGGAGGCACACAAAAGAGGACAAAATAAAACATTAAAAAGCTTCTCCATACGGGGCTGCCTTCAGGTGTCTAGTTACTCATCTCCTTGACATTTTCAAAGTTCCTTCAAGCACCTTTTACTGTGGGGCTGCAGTTCAGCAGTAGAGAAGGGCCTGCTCAGCATCCATAAGGGCCCTGGGTTCAATTCCTGGCATCTCCAGGTAGGGCTGGGACTAGGAGAGCCATTGCTGCCAGTCAGTGTAGGCAATACTGAGCTAGATGGGACCAAAGTTCAGACTTGGTATAAAGCAGTTGGTTCCTACAATTCACAGCCGAGGAGCAGAAAGCAATGCCTGAAACAAGACCATCCAAGTGTCCCTATTTTCCAGGGGCATTTATGGATCTACAGAAGCCGCCCTGGTTTCTGATTTGATTCCAGAATGTCCCCCTTTTAGAGAGTCCCTATTTTCATCAGAAGAAGGCTGATAGCCGAAGAACTGATGCTTTTGAATTATGGTGCTGGAGGAGACTCTTGAGAGTCCCATGGACTGCAAGAAGATCAAACGCATCCATTCTTAAGGAAATCAGCCCTGAGTGCTCACTGGAAGGACAGATCCTGAAGCTGAGGCTCCAGTACTTTGGCCACCTCATGAGAAGAGAAGACTCCCTGGAGAAGACCAATGCTGGGAAAGATGGAGGGCACAAGGAGAAGGGGCGACAGAGGATGGTTGGATAGTGTTTTCGAGGTTACCAGCATGAGTTTGACCAAACTGCGGGAGGTAGTGGAGGACAGAGGTGCCTGGCGTGCTCTGGTCCAGGGGGTCACGAAGAGTCGGACACGACTAAACGACTAAATAACAACAAACCACTGTAATGGAATACTGAATGGTATAGTTTATGTAAAATATGTAGGGATTTATGTTGTGCAAAATGAACCATGGAAAGGGAAGAAGGAAAGCCATTGATATTTTAAGGTTGTTTGAATGAATATTCTAAATTGTAAAGCGGAAAATTTAATAAAATTTACACGTGTGTGTGTGTGTTTTATTATGTTTTTATTGATGTTGAAAGACACCCAGAATGGCTGAGGCAATCCAGTCAGATGGGTCTGGTATAACAATAACAACAACGGAATAGGACGCCCCCATTTTCACTGGAGAAATATTGGAGGGTATGTGAGACTTGGGTCAGGACTCCAGAGACCGGACGCCCACACTTGTTCACCCCCTATGTGGAGGTTCATGGGCCAGGGCCCTCCCTGAATCTCTCACCTTGTGCCCCTCCTTGTTGGGCTCTCCGGCGATGTAACACCTGAACACCTCGAAGACGCTTTCCTCGCTGGTCAGCTCCTCGCCCCACATCTTCAGCAGCTCGTCCCTGGGAGATTTGCTCTTCAGGTAGAAGAGGTAATAATCCTTCAGCTCCCCAAAGGCTGGGGAGGATGAGTTACCCCTGAGGGTTGCGGGAGAGAAGGCATGTTAGGGCAGGGCAGGAACAAGCCCCCTTACAGGCAAGATGGCCTCCCCCACATTCACCCACTTGACTGCTCCCATCAGCAGAACTGTTGCAGGGACCACAGAATCCCTGTTCTAAATTTATAAGAAGTCCATCTTTTCGTGTGGCAATACCCAAACTCTGGAACTTCCTGCCTATGGACATCAGGCAGCTGCCTTCACTGTACTCTGTGCTAGAAACATTCGTGAAGCCCACCCAGAGGTTTAGAAAACTGATGCATATTTCCATCTGTTTTTAGCTAGTTGTGAACTTGAGCTCTTGAAAGTATTACATTATCGCTGTTCTTACCGATAAATTTTATCGTTTTGTCTTTTTCGCAAACCGCTTCGAGGCTCATTTGATTTTTTGATTTTTTACAGTCAAGTGGTGTATCCATTTCATGAAATAATGAATCGAACAAGGGAATGTGTAGTAAAGTTAGTACTTTCTTAGCAGCTTTTCTTTGGTCAAGTGGAAAGTGAGGCCTTGTGGGAAACCAGTAAGAATTATGGGAACCCTCCTGTTGCTTTAACCCGTGAGCCTGTTGGCTCCAAGGGCGTGAGAGGATGACTATGGGAAAGGAAATTTCGGGCTAAATTGAAGGTTTACACCTGCGTTCAAAGTTATGAACATACCCTCTGTAATGTTATCTATCCTTAATTACTTGGGAATGTACATCTGCCTAAGCTCCACCAGTCTCCATCGGAAGGGAGGAAACACCTTGATCTGGGTTCTGAAGGCTTAATTGGCTCAGCTGCCACAAGTTAGAATTATTAGCCCACAAGCTGGTCATTGGAGGATTCAAAAATAATCCAGGGTTCTGACTGTGTTTGGGGGTTTCTGATTCCACGTGCGAATTATGGAGAAAAGATCTTGAGAATGGTTTGAAAGGCGCGCTCTGCAATTCGCAAAGAATCGCCCGGCTGCTGATGTCCACCAAAGCAGCCATCTTTTCGTCCTTTTGTGCTTTTGCGTTGAAGATTTTCTGAGACCTTTGGATGCGGATTTCTGAAAGACTCTCCTATCTTTGCCTTAGAGTATAGAAGTGAGTATATAGTCAGCTATCATTTACAACGTTCTTCTTTTTCTGTACTTGTAATTTACCAAAAGATGTGCCTGCTTTTTAGCATGTTCTTTACGTTTTAAAATAAATTTTTAAGAAAGAAACTTTCTCTTGTATTGTGTGTGCCTATCCGGGGGAATAGCTAATTCCAACACCTAGACTTCTTGGTTACGCTCTACCAAAGGATTCCTGCCTGCAAGCTTGTGGAAGCAACTTGTAGTTTGGGGTTAGCCAGCAACAAAGGAGCACAGCTGACTCCCTTGAGCTGTGGCTTCTGGTAACCCTGGGTCGAGGGAGTGGTGGCAGCTCTACCAGCTCTATTTTGTCCTGTTTCTGAAAAGTAAATGGGTTTGCCAGCCTTGCTCAAGAAACCTGATCTGGCCGGAGAGCAAAGACAGGTGAGGGAGGGGCAAGTGGCTGGGCGCCCATTTACTACAGAACGAAACAAGGAAATCTCCCCAGAAAGTATAGGGTCTTTTCTGGACTTGGGAGGAGACAATCCTATGGGTTTCAGTCAACTAGGTTTTACTTAGGGTAGCCCCGCTGAAATTAACAGGCCCAAGAGATAAGTCATTCCATTAACCTATCAGTAGAGGGAAATTCCCAGGTGTCAAAAAAGACTATTTATGTAGGCTACTACTGCAGCCCATGTCTTGTTAGCCCAAAAGTGGAAAACAAACGAGGTCCCAACCAAAGAAGAATGGCAACTTAAACTGATGAAATATGCGCAACTTGCAGATTTAACATCTAGAATAAGAGAACAAGAAGAACATACATTTAGAGAAGACTGGAAAACGTTTACTGAATATATGGGTGAAAATTGTGTTCATTTAAAAATGCTGACAGCATTAAGATAAATTCAGCAGGGTAAATAAGTTTTGATGGATGTAACAATGGTTTCCTGAATGGTTTAGTTCATGTAAAATACGCAGGGCGTATGGTATGCAAAATGAACCATGGAAAGAGAAGAAGGGATGTCACGGATTTAAGGTTGTTTAAAAGAATATTTTGAAATGTAAAATTTAATAAAAATTATATATAACTACCTCAACTGGTCTATAACCGTTGCATCTTTCTGGCATCTTCTGTTTTAATTCAGATAGGCCTCCCATCGCTTCCCAGTTCAACCAGATCTTTCCAGAGGGATACATCCACCTCCCCCCCCCCCGCCACACTCACCAGCGGCCATTAGGAAACTCATCCCATTCCTGAGTTCGGTAGATGTAACTCTTCGGCCTGGAGGCCCAGAAAATGGGTCGGACATCTTCAACTCGCCGTTTGGGGTGAGTACTGACCGCCCAGGGCAGGGAACGCCTTGCAGGGGAGGGAGAGAAAATTAAAACATAAATTTGCACCTATACTTGCGTGCTGCATCTTTTTAAACACTTCCTGGTAGCTTACACGTGTTTTGCTCCCCCTGAATTAAAAACTGAAGGGATGGCTCATTTTTATACCCAGCAAGTGAGTCAGTGTGGTTGTAGTGGTTGGAATTGGGATTTGGTAGGCCAAGTTTCAAATCCCCACTTGAACCCAGAAGTTCATAGGGGGACCTTGGGCTGGTCACTGTCTCTCAGCCTAGTCTACCTCCCAAGATTGTTGTGGGGATTAAATGTGTGTGGGGGGAATATATATACAGTGGGATATATATACAGAAGTGAATAAATGAGGTTTACTTTTGCAGCATGTAAGTAAGGAAGAATTAATTGCACCCTGATGTATGACTGTTGCTGTTTTTTAAATTATTTTTATTAATTTCCCAATAAAAAGAGCCAATCAACATATCCGCATCATAATCTGATTAAAAACAATAAACTAAAATAAAAAACGGCCAAATTGTAGTCTAAATTGTAATTATTCATTTTTCCGGGCTCCCCATAGTCTGGACCTCTAAAGCATATCTCCAAATCTTCGTTCCTGCCTCTTCTCGTTGTTTTCATGTTTTCCGCCTTCTGATCTTAACACTTTAAAGTTCTCCATCTCTGGTGATGTATGACTGTTTTGAGCATGCCTCATAACTGGGAGAAGCTAAGCTCTGGGGAGAACAGTGGCAGGCACAGAGACAGAAGAATTATCCTCCCATCTGAAGAGATTGCCTGTTCTGTCTTTGTGTTGGGAGAGACTGAACGCTCCAGAGAATTACACCTTCCTAGCACAGGCTGACTGGAGGAGGCCAGTGGAGTCTGCTGGTCAAAGCAATCTCTCGCTGAGACAACTTGTATGCCTGGCCCCACTTGCAGGAGAGCTGTCCGTGGTCCTTAACCCAAACCTTAGTCTGCTCTCCAAGGTGCTGTTGCCTGTCCAACCAGGAATTTCTAGCCTACCCTTGCCTGAGCCACCAAGCAACTGGTGGTAGAGAATCACCCTCTGTTCCTCTTCTGCCAGTCTGCTGGCTAGAAGGCCAATTTTTAAAAAAGATATTTCTAGCCTTCACATCCATGAAGGCTGCAGAGGATGGAGTTTCCCTTACCCGGCAGCCAGCATGGAAACAATTCCCACAAGCTCGTAAAGAATGTGGCAAGATGGATTCCTTTGGGTTCAACGAGGGAAAAGAATATAAACAGATTCTAGCAAGGATGGGCAATGTTTAAAGAATTCTGGACGGTCAGACGGGGGGGGGGCTTAGATATAATCCTTTTGAAATTCTGTTGAGAGCATATGAATATTGTTCTTAAAGATCATAAATATATAAATAAAAAGGGTCCACCCACTAAATAGCTCAGTTGGGTAGATTGTGGTGCTGATAATGCTAAGGTTGCAAGTTTGATCCCCATATGGGACAGCTGAATATTTCTGCATTGCAGGGGTTTGGATGCGGCCCAATCGCCTTCTAAATCCGGGCCGCAGATGCTCTGGGACTCAGCGTGTTTTTACATCAGTAGAATGTGTGCTTTTATTTAAAATGCATCTCTGGGTTATTTGTGGGGCATAGGAATTTGTTCATTTCCCCTCCAGAAAATATAGTCTGGCCCCCCACAAGGTCTGAGGGACGGTAGACCAGCCCACGGCTGAAAAGGTTTGCTGACCCCTGGACTAGATGATGCTCAGGGTCTCTTCAAACTGTACAATTCTGATTCCACTTGATACCTTCCCTTATTACTTTGCTGGCTTCTTTCCTCGCCCCCCTTTCCTCCCTCCCTCCCTCTCCTTCACTTTTTTATTTCCCGTTTGCACATACTCTATTTCGGATTGTGACAGCAATTGTTCGTTAAACCTCCGTCATAACTTGATGCATCTTTGCAAAACTGTGCAATTATTGACCGGAATCTTGTTTGTTTCCATTCCTGCACTTGCATTGTTTACAGCAACACAAATAAAAAGTTGGTTTTCCTTTTTTAAAAAAAAGATGTTGCAAGCTACCGTATTTTTTGCTCTATAAGACGCACCTTTTCCTTCCTAAAAAGTAAGGGGAAATGTGTGTTCGTCTTATGGAGCGAATGCAGGCTGCGCAGCTATCCCAGAAGCCAGAACAGTGAGAGGGTCACTGCGCAGTGCTCCCTCTCGCTGTTTTAGCTTCTGGCTTAGTCACGCTCTGTCCCTTCCACCACCTCCTGGAAAAGCCCCCAAGAGCCGCGCTCCCTTTAAAGAGCCGCGTGGAGCGTGTGTGCGGCTCTTGGGGGCTTTTCCCAGAGGAGGGAGAAGGACAACACGTCTCCCTCCTCGGGGAAAAGCCTGCAAGCGCTGCACACACGCTCTGTGGGGTTTTGCTGCTGAGCCATCTGAGTCAGTTTCAGATTCACAACTTTCATCAGTGGGTGTGGGGTTTTGCTGCTGTTTATCCTCAGTCTCTTCACACGCTCCACGCAGCTTGTGAAAGGGAGGTTTTCCCACCCACCCACCCACCCTTTAAGGTTCCCCTTCTGACCTCGCTATGGACCTCGGTTGGTCGCCTTTAAGGGGCCTGGTAGGACTTTTTTCCACTTGGCAAATTGGCACCGGCCATTGGGGGTTTCGCCCACCTCATAGCAAATCGTCACAACTCCTTTGGTTTTGGCGGTTAGGCATTGGTAGGGGTATTGTTATGTAGATGTGTTGGGGGGGAGGAACGCCATCACCTCCCCCAAATATTGAAGGGTAGTCTAGTAAAGGATTCCGGGGGCGTGGCCTCGTCGGAAGCCTATGGAGGCCAGGGCCTAAAGTGCGCCCCCGAGCGGTGACCCCGGGGGAGTCCCTAGTCGATGTGCATCAGCAGGGCTCCCCCTGCTGGTGTTAACCCTTCCGGGTCTTCAAGCAAGCAGGCCGAAGCCGGATAGTTGGATAGGACCAATGCCTAAGCCAATACCGCTCATCACCTGTAACCGATAAAGTTGCGGGCAATTTTAGCCCATTAACCTAAAATAATGGTGTCATGTGTCTTTATTTCTACTGGTGGGAGGCAGGAACTCGCCACGCAAACGCCGGCACCCTTGGCCTGAAAAGCAAGATGCATGCCGCAACCCCATAGTCACTTTTGGCTGGACTTAACTGTCCAGGGGTCCTTTACCTTTTTACCCGTTTTTGTCAACAACTCCCATCCACTCCAGCCAGCACGGCCAATGGTCAGGAGCAACAGGAGCAGTCAGCTCAGCAGCCATTGCATCAGGCAAAGGAAGAGAGTTGGAACTAGAGGGTTGCTCTATTAATATGGCTAAAAAGACCAGCAATTTTACTCTGATTTTTTATTCCTTGCAACCATTGACATTCTGGCTCCGGCAAGTAACCAGTGCTTTTCTTCAAGGCTAGGGAAAAAGGTGCTAGTACTGCGTACCCTTGAATACCCCCCCCCCGAAAAAGCACTGACTGTAACTAAGAATTAGAGCCTGGACCTGCTTTCACCTCCTCTTCCCTCCCACTCCCTTTCCTTTTGTGTCATGTCTCATAGGCCACACCCACACCCATATATTTAAAAGCATGTTGCTTGCTTCAAAGGATTCTGGGAACTGTAGTTCACCCCTCACAGTTCTCAGCACCCTTAAACAAAGTGCAGTTCCCAGGATCCTTTGGGGGAGGGAAATGGGATTTAAATCATGTCTGGTTTGGATGTGACCTTAGATTGCAAGGGTGGGACATTTGTAAGCCTTTTTTGACTGACGAGTGGCATGAAAATGCCTAGTAATTGCTCAGCTGAGAGGAGAATCCACATCCAAGAGCTACACAAACACATGCCTAATTAACAGGTTTAATTGCAATTAACTATCTTGCACACATCCAGGAAAGAAAGAAAAATAGGGCACATATTTTCAGCAGATAAGATGCAAGGCTGATAAGGTGCAATTGTTATTAAACGAGTAATTCCATATGTGATCCTTTCCTCAGGGGAAGTTGTTCAGCTGTTCGCTAGACAAACGTTATGAGCTGTAGTTGACATTAACGGACATGGCCAGTTTCAGTGGGTCTACTCTGAGTCAGACACAGTTGCAGACAACCTTACTTCTAATAAAAACATACATTGCAGAGCCACTTTGCCTCGTTTTCCCCACACGCAACAGCCAAGGAGTCCCCGAGACCAGGACCCCCATAGCAAGATGCCCTAGGCTGACTCAGCCCATCAGTCCCAGGACTGTCAACACTGGCTGACAGCAGCTTTCCAGGGCTTCAGGCACGGAAGATTTCCAGCCCTGCCAGGAGATGCCACTGGGGATCTGAAGCAGATTTCCTCCACCACCGAACTAAGACTCTTCTCTTTCCATGCTGCCACAAATCACACACTAAACATTTAGGGGTTCTGCAAGGGAACAAGGGTTAAGACATCACTTGCCTTTTCCAGGTGAGACTTTTTCAGGCTCCCACTCTGAGCAAAGGGAGTTGGAGCAGGAGGTCATTTACAATAAAGGATATTTCCAAGGAGGAGATCAGGGCTGGGCAAGCAGCGAGGCGGGGAGAAGGGACAACAGCCCAAACCTGCAAGACCCATCGCAACACTTGCCTGGGGGAGTGATCCTTCCATGCAATTGTCCACTGCAGCTGGACAGGCTTTTTGCTGCGCTCCAGGTTATTTCCTGCGGCTGTCCACGTGCACACCCAGTGAGACTCTCAGGCTCGCTGACCTTGCTTGGATCAAGTGCACAGCCACTCTCCAAAATGGACTCCCGCCAAGAACAACAGCAGCCTCTGAGCCTCCACTCTACAGCTATGCAAACAGACGCCGCTTGGGCTCTCAGTAACTGCACATACAAAGCCAACTAAGGTGTGCATTCAAAGGTGCCCTCCTGCTCCAACCAGAGCCCAGCCCAGACCTGCGGATGCCAGACCTGGCTTGCCAATCAGAGGCCGGCCCTGGCACTCCCTCCAATCTCTGCCCGCTGCTCCAATGGGCAGTGGAGATCCAGCCCTCTAGAGACACCCTTCTGTTTGTCAAGCATAAACGCTCCCTTTGGTTGTCTGGTCTGAATGCCCTGTTGTTTGTACAAGGGCCGTTGTGCAAAATGTTTTACGTTCCGAGAGCAGAGCCATATATTCCCTGCTGACCCCCTCAAAAGGAATCAAAATGAGGGACCCTCCTCCTTTTTACAGTAAAGACACTGCCACCGAAAAGGTACTTTTGTTATGCGTAAGAACCGCACAGTATCTCCCTTCTCTTCATACTTAAGAGAAGAGGAAAGGAAAGTTCTCCTGCCAGCCTGACAAACCCATCCGTGGAGAACCTATACGGACTGTTTTAAGACCATGTAAAACGACATTTGCCTGGCACCTGCTTCGTATAATATAGGCAGGTGGTCAGAAAACAATTTTATTTTCTCAGGTTTTAATCAACACATTGTGGCTCTGGAACTGAAATTGCTAAACTATGTATCACTTTGTGCTGTATTCTTGGTTTTATTGAATTTGTATGTAGCCATTTTACGGCATTTTTAATAAAAAAGGGAGGGAGGGAGGAAGGAAGGAAGGAAGGAAGGAAGGAAGGAAGGAAGGAAGGAAGGAAGGAAGGAAGGAAGGAAGGAAGGAAACCATCACACAGCCACAAAACCGGCAAGGAACTTTGCGGCACCCAAAAGGCTAACTTGGGGTGGGGAACCTCAGGCTCCCAGAGAACAAATATGGCCCCTGCACCTCTCTGCCTGGCCCTCAAACTCTCTGCAGACCACACCCATCACTGGCCTTCCTTGCTTCTCCACACACCGTTTTTTCCTTGACCTGACTGGAATGTTGTCTTTGAACCCCAATACAGTGGTACCTGCAAAGCAGGATAGAGTCTGCAAAGCAGGATACAAATAATAGAAAAAGTATTAACTGTACATTTCAAAGAATTATATATATATCACCCTAGTGTTGCATGGCATTCCACGTTTTCTAACCACTAGGCCACACAGCCTCTCCTAGAACCTTGGCACTGAGGCCGGGAATTCCATGTTCCCAACTGCCGTTGCCTAGCAACGAGCTTGGGACCGTTTGAGGTTCCTCAGTTCCTCAGCATCCTGAGGTGGGCAGAGGTGTGCCAACCTGTTGCGACAGAGTTTCTCACGTTGCACGGAGGTGAGGAGCCAGGACAAGTTTAAAGACTTGAGTATAGCGCAGCGTCACGAAGAGTCGGACACGACTAGACAGCAACAACAAATGGAGGTAAGTCTAGGTTGCCATGGCCAGGGGACCTAACCCTGGAACCTACTTGTATGAACTTTATTATGGTCACAGACCAGGATAAAAAAAAAAAGAGCTATAAATAAAGTAGCAGTTAGGATTTATTTATTTTTAACCGATAACTGTTAGAGCAAATGAGGACAAAGAAACAGGCATAGGATAAAACAGTTTAATGGTCACTTTAAAATGTGAAGGTTCATTGTTGCTTCACAAGTTGTGTATGTCTTTAAGGGCCAGGGCAAGTAACGAAACCCCTCTTACAGCTGTGAAACATAGCAGGTTCTGCTGAGTTGTGTTAATCAAGCTGTGTCAGCAATTGGGTATAGTACCGTATTTTTTCGCTCATCGGACGCACTTTCCCCCCCTTAAAAAGTAAGGGGAAATGTCTGTGCGTCTTATGGAGCGAAGCCAGCAAAGAGCCGCTGCTGCCGACAGCTCTGCGAGCAGCTCTCCCTTTAAAGCAAGAGCTGTGTAGAGTGTGTCTGCGGCTCTGGCTGGGTTTCCAGGGAGGCGGGTCTGTCCCTCCTTCCGGCTCATTGGAAAGCCAGCAAGAGCCGCGGCTGCTGAGCTGAGGCGGGAGGAGGGAGGAAGGGGATTCCGTGGTCCCTCCCTCCTCCGTGGCTCCCTTTGAAGCAGCAAAGTGGGAGGGAAGCCGCTTACACCCGTGTAAGCAGCTCCTCTCCATTTCCTGCTTCAAAGCAACCACGGAGGAGGGAA